CTTTCTTCCTCTATTTTTATATGTGGGACACATGCCACAGTATGGCTTGATACCTGGTATGTAGGTCCTCACCCAGGATCTGAACTGGTGAACCCCAGGCAACTGAAGTGGAACGTGCAAACTTAACCTCCATGCTACTGAGGAGGCCCCAACGCAGAGAGTATTTTGATGACCCTCTATTTTTCCTGGTACATTATATAAATGTGTCAATGTGAGGTTAGTTATTAGTTTTTGTATTATTAGCACAACACTTTGGCAGGGCTTGTGAGTCAGGAAAAAAATTGATATTTGGGTTCATTTTACTTCAGGGTTCTGAAACACTATGTAGTTCTTTCCAGCTTTTGTTTTACAATCCATTTAGATTTGATTTAAGTCCATTGTCAAAACAAAATTTAAAATGTTTATTCAAGAATACAGTGAAACTGGAAATCACATAATATTCCACTTTGTATAGCTACATCAAAATTCTGTACATGAGCCAAAAATATAGTGAAGGAAAAAAACTTACTAATCTACCAGAAATTCTTTAATTAAATTATAAATTTTTAATGTATCTTTACTTTCATATGAGTGTATTTTATTTTCTTTGTCCGTTATTCATTTGAAAAGTTATGCAGTTTTGAAGCTATGTTGTTACAAATATGCTTTTATTGGAAATTAATTGAATACTAAAAATTATTAACAAAATCTAATTTTACTCAAAACAGATTGACTCAATAATGCATGAAACAAACCTATGTAATATATAAAGCAAACTTGTTAAAAGAAGGAAATTTAGAGATCCTAAACATTGATAAATAAAGCAATATCAATATTAATATTTTTATTTCCTTTCCCAAATATGAAAACCCTTTGATATATCCTTTGGTTTTATGTCATTTAATCAACCTTTAATTGTCTGTGCTGTTTGGTTAAGGAAAATTATGAATATACAAAACTAATTTTTTTTCCAACAAGACTCTCAAGAAAAGCTTTATGAGTTAGATGTTACATGAAATAAATACTCAAAACAAATGCTCAAAAAATATTTAAATTGCTTATAAGCAATGAATAATTAAGCTTAGTAATGGCAATAGTATTTACAATTTTGGATACAGATGGCACGAGTTCCTTGGAAGTGATTTTTTTTTAACCAGCTCAGATTTTATTCAGATTTCATCAGCTTTTCCACTAATGTCTTTTTTCTGTTCCAGGAGCCAATCCCAGACACCACATTGAATACAGAATGCATTTTATTTTATCAAGTAGTTTCTGTTGTGCCCATGTTTTATAATAATCGCTGAACAGTAGAAATCTTTATCATTCTGTGCATGTATGCGTGCGTGTGTGTTTATGTATTTTTTCCCTCCTCAGTGGCAGAATAGCAAAAGTAATATTATGGGACTTGAGTCATACTGACCTGAGTTTTAATCCTAAGTTTGCTGAGTAACTTTGGGGCATTGATCAAGTTACCTAAATTCTCTGAACTTCAGTGTCTTCATCTGTAAAGTAGAAATAGTAGTGACAATAATGCCTATCTCATTGAGTTGTAAAGACTAAATGTGACTATACAATGAACTGTAGTGGTGATTCTTGGTATTATTATTACTTACTGTCTAATGAAGATACTAAAGAAAAGAGAATTATCCAGAAAGCAGATGGTCAAGGATGATTTTTAAAGATGGGGGAGGGAGTATGGCACAGAAGAGCCACAACTTGACAAACCGACTCTGAAATAATCAGGAAGCAATTGTTCAGTAAAATTAAGAAGCTTCTTTATTTCTTGCCAGCATATTTATATCAAAATGTGTAACATGGGGCCAGTTTTTTCACTTGGCATGTTCCCGGCCATTTGTAAAAAGAGTGTTCAGCAGCTGTTGCTCTGGGAAGCAGATGGATGGATGACATTTATGAATTGTATTTTTCAGATCGAGAAACTGAGGCACCAAGTGGTTAATTGTTTTTCCTAGCCTTCCGTGTCCATGAAACATCAAATTTGAGATTACAGTTCGTGAATATCTTCTGCCTTCTAGCTATATGCTGCAGAAAGGAACTGCCAATGGATGAGATGGTAAAAATGGAAGGCTTTCTCTAAGGGAGGCCAGCTGAAGAGTCGTGCTTTTGTGTCTGGTACAGATGGCCAACGGGTAGTGCTTACCAGGGTTTCCCTCCCCTACAGCCACCCACCCTCAAGTGACAGCTTTTTGCATCTTCTTGTCTAATTAAACCACCAACAGAGAATGCCAGTTATCTGCCTGTGTGACACCTCTGCATATTAAGTAGCTTTTGTAATTAATTATTTTTTGAAAGCCTTGATCCTCCATAATTAAATAAATCTTTGAGAATTAATAATAGGTTAGCATGGTATATAGACTGAAAACACCGTGAGCAGCAACTTGGCAGTGAGGGAAGAACTTTGCATCCAATATAGTGTCTCTATTGATCAATCTTTGATGATCTGCATGCTCCCAATATAACATCAAGATATGTTTCTTGTTTTCTCTATATTCCTGTGCACCCAAGTGGAGCCAATTGTTTCTGCACAGGGTAAGATATAAAAATGCAGATTTGCTTAAATAACTTACTGCCCAACAAGGCAGTCTCTGTCGTACATGAGAATAGGCTGCAAGCAGCTGTCTCCCTCATATTGCCCTCTGGGTTATGACTGTGATGCTGGTTAGTCACTTTTGCATCTTTTTGTGCTGGCAGCAACATTGAGACCAGATAATAGATGCTGGCAAGATCCTGAAATCAAAGGCATGGAAAGAGCGCCTTTAAGCAGGTGGTCATGTCCTTCAGTGGCGAGCTTGTGGGGTGTGACAGAGCTGGCCCACTGCAGAGGACAGTCCAATATGCCACCACTGTCTGGATGAGGAGCCTGCCCTTTTGCCCTTGAGGGGCTGGGCAGCTGGGGAAGCAGGAGACTTGCTGCTGGGGGATATTCTGCCTCCAGGGCCTGGGGTCATGTCATTTTGCGTGGGACGATGGATAGAGTTTGTTGTTGATAGTGTTGTGGAGTCGATTCGGACTCCTAGTGACCCTGTGTACAGCAGAGCCTTTTTGCACCATCCTCTCACCTTCCAGCACTCTATCAGACAATGCTCAGCTACTATTCATAGGGTTTTCATGGCCAATTATTTTGGAAGTGAGTGGCCAGGTCCTTCTTCCTAGTCCGTCTTAGTCTGGAAGCTCCGCTGAAACCTGTCCACCATGGGTGACTCTGCTAGTATTTGAAGTACCAGTGGTATAGCTTTCAGCATCGCAGCAACATGGAATGACCACAGACAGACTGGTAGTGTGGTTCCCTGACTGGGAAACGAACCCGGGCCATGGAGGGCTTGGATAGGGTCAGGGGAGCAAAAATAGGAAAGACCCACACATATTTAAAGGCTATTTCCTGCCTTTCCTTTCACCCGGGCCACTCTCTTTCCTTCTGCCTTCTTTTCCTCTCTGTCTTTCCCCTTGTCCACTTGTCCTGATTCTGCATCTTTGTTTTAGAGGTTGGCACCAGTTTTGTCTTGCTTAGATTTCAGCTTTCAGAGTAGCAGGATCTTGTGCCAGCATTATAGAATTTTAGATCTGGAAGATGTCTTGGGAATTCTGGATCAGCCAGGGAGAGTCTTGAATCTTAAAGATTCTGGAGAGACTCCAGGGTTCTTCCCAGGGGTTTGACTTTTCTTTAGATAGACCTAGGAGTGCTGTCAGGTTCAGAAACGTAGGGGAAAGGGTAATGATTCTAGTAATAATTATCATCATAATTAATAGGCATTGAATAACGCACACTCTATATACCTTGTCTTTTGTCATTTTAGTTCATTTTTCAGTAGGTAATACATCTGTTTGGGTCTCAATTCAAAAATTATAAGAGATATCTAGTAAAAATTTCCTCTCTTCCCTCCAGAGTTACCACCTCCCAAGAAATAAATAATAACTGTTATTCATTTGTTGTATACCCTCTCAGAGACTTTCATGTATTCACAAGAAAATACAAATATCTATATGTATTTTCCCCATTTCATAGCACAAATAGTAACACATTATACCTTGTTCTGCGCTTCATGCATTGTCTTTATTTAATCCTCACAGCAGCCCTATGTGGAATGAGCTGTTTTTACCCCAATTTACAATTAGAATTCAGCTCTAGCTGAGTCTCTTGCTCAGGGCAACATAGCAAGGTGGTGGCGTGGGATAACCCTGACTGTCTAACTCCATCAGTTGTGATCTTCGTCACTAGGCTGTCCTGCCTCTCTGGAGCTGGCACAGACTCCTCAGGGTTCCCGCTGATTTGCATAAGTTCCCCAGGGGCTCAGCGCAGTGCTGGCTCCTAACCACAGACTCCAGCCCACAGTCAGGGAATGTGGCAAAACTTATTCAGCTCTGCATCAGTCAGCATCTCTTTTCTTTTTCTGGGGGGAGGAGAAGTTATGACTTTTAAAAAGTTGTGGAAAATACATATAACAAAATTTACCATCTTAACCATTTCTAAGTGTACAGTTCTGTGGTATTAAGTACATTCGTGTTGTTTTGAAACCAATCTCCAGTACTCTTTTCACTTTCCTGAGCTGAAACTCTCTACCCGTCAAATAGTAACTCCTCATTCCCTGCTCCCCTACTCCTGGGGGACCTCCCTTCTACTTTCTGTCTCTGTGAGTTTGACTACTCGAGATACCTCGTATGTGGAATGATACTGTATCTGTCTTTTCATGACCCGCTTATTTTATTTAGCACAATATCCTCAAAGTTCATCCATGTTGTAGCATGTATCAGAATTTCTTTCCTTTTAAAGCTCAATAACGTTCCATTGTATGAATACACCATGTTTTGTTTATTTATTCATCTGTTGGTGGGCACCATTTTATATTCCCACCAACAGTGCTCAAGGGTTCAGTTTCTCCATATCCTCACTGACATTTGTTATTTTCTTTTCTCTTTTCCATAGTAAGCGTCCTAATGAGTGTGAGGTGACATTTCTTTTATAACGTGCCATTAAACATATTTCTTAGTTCTTGTATTCTGCTCACCTGCCACAGAATTCAGTTTTTCTCACATCAGGTCCCTCTTGTAGACAGGTTAAGGTTTGTCGAGGAGTGACCAGCCCACAGGCCAAGTGAGGCTAGCTGGTGGCTCGGCTCATTATACCTGGTCAGACCCCTCCTGCCACGTGGATCCTTTGTGACCTCATTCTGTGCTTTAGGGTGGCCGCATCTTCTTTCTGGTTATTCCTCAGCAGGAAGATTTTCTTGACCTTTACCAAAAAGACAGGATGAGCTCCCAGAATGCAGAGGAATCTTTCCTGTCTCGTAGGTTCCTCACATTCTTTATCCTTCCTGGATGGTTGCTCTCTTGTTAAACCGGGAGATTTTTCAAACCTAGTAACATTTTCATTCAATAAGCCAAGTCATTGTTAGACTCCTCTGCCTTCCACCTTTATGTCATCCTTTGTTTTATCCTCCCTGGGAAGAAGATGGGACTCTTTCTCTCCCACAGTGTACCACAGGATACATCAGGTCTTATGTGGACTCCCCAGGTTAGTGACTCAGTTTGGCACTTTCAATGAGCTATCTTTCCCCATCTCCCAGCCCCAGGCTCTCTGGAGGTGTGTCTTGGGAATGATTATGCGGCTTTAATCTCTCAGGACCAAGAGTGGCCTCAGAGCAGTACCAGAGAAGTGTTTGTCTATATTTCCAGCTGTAACCCCTACATCTAATCCAAGGCTTAGCTGCCACTAGGAAGGAGGTGGAGCACCTTCGCTTGTGGTGTAATCCATTCTCAGTCTGTCTTCTGTATGTCCTTGAATATGGCCATTTTAAAAAGTGGTGTTTTTTTCTAATTACAAAAGCAAATATATGTTCAAAGCAGAAAACCTGAAAAATGAAGAAAAACACACCACTAAAACCTCATAGTGCATGGGATCAAATATAGGTACTGTTTTATAGCCTTCTAATTTGCTTAAGAGATTGTGTAATTTGCCTATACCTGCAAATATTCTTTTACCATATAACTTTTAGTGAAAATATTTGTGGCATAATATGGATATGCTATAGTTTATTTAAAAATTCCTTTACTGTTGGAAATTTAAGCCATATTCTTTTTGGCTGTTATGAACTTTCCTGAACATCTCAGTACATATATCTATGAAAACTATGCTATTTTTAAATGCTATGTTTGGAAAGATGTATAGAAAGGTCTATTTGATTACAGTGACCCTGACTCCACAGGGAAGCGAGCTGAAGATGTAGAGAAAATGTCGATAAAAGGGAGTGGAAAGAGAGTACCTTCCCTTTGAATTAAGATGAAGGGTATCTGGGCGCTGACACCAGCTCCAGAGAACTCAGAACAAACTCAACATCACTATTGCTTCGCCAATTTTGTTTGACACTCAGAGTTGCAAGATGTTCAGGATGCTCTTTTTTCTCCCTCCCTGCTATTCATGGTCCCAATTAGTGGAACCCTTGGAGCGATCTCTCTAACCACTCAGCCCAATAGCCACGCCCTCAAAATGTAGATCTATGCCTTTGTTCGATTGTTTTGAGAGATGTTGGATGACCTTAACAGTGCGTTTCCTGAAGTAGCCTATATTTTCCCAGATTTTTGCTTTAATTCTTATTGTATAGACAAAGGGCATGATGTCACTGTCATTTTCATTGTTATTCTGGTCATATCCTCTCCATTGGCGATTTACTGCAGACAGTCCTAGCTTTTTTGCCCAAATACATTCCTGGAGACTGTCCTCAGGCAGATTTTTAAGAAATCATATTTTCTAATGAGAATAACACAATTGGAAATCTACGTTTTCATATCAATGAACTTGAAAGCAAATAAATCATAGGTATGGTAAATAATGTGTCATTAAAACAAAGAAGCATCTTTCTATAAATTTTCTAAATTTTCCTTAGGACAATCAGAAACAGTCAAAGTGGTTCCACAAATTCAGGTCATATAAAGAGAGGATAAATGTATTTGTTTGTTCAGAGGGCCTCAAACGTATGTAGAAAGTATAAATAGAGACTATATAAAAATATAGTTATATAGTGTGATAAGTTTGGCCCACGTCTAGATCCTTAGGGCTGAAGAAACTTGAGAAAGATCTATCCTGTCTCATTTGACAGGTAAGGAAAACGGATCTCACAGCATTAAGTGACTTGCCGAAGATCACCATGCTTACATGAATTCAATATGTAATTAATGATGGTTTTGCTTCCTTCGATACAGTGAGGAGATAGTGTGGTACAATTATCAGAATCCCCCTTCAGGACTGAAGCCCTTATTATCCTAACTACTAGGAGTGTTGGCAGTGGCCAGTTCCCAGCTGAGTCCCTCTCCAGGGACTTGCCATTAGCTGCACAAAGCCTCTTTACCCAAGGTCACGCTCTTATCCCAAGGGCAGCTCGCATCTGATGATGGGTGTCTGGTTGATGCAGAGGTATAAAGGCCTGATCCCTCAGCCCTGACTGAGACAACTCTGAAGGGCCAGTAGAGTCAGCTAAGCCTTTGTTGTCCCTGCATTGTGGCCCAGTGTCTCCCTCTGCCCACTGCCGCTTCCCTCCCTTCCCTCCAGATATTGATCCTGAGAACAATTCCTAATAAATGCCCTGTATGCAAACTCCATTTCAGAGTTTGCTTCTCAGGGAAGTGGACTGTGACATACGACAAACCTCTGGGAGATATTTTGGATCACTGGGTCTTAAAAAATTTGTACCATGAAGTTTGAACTGACGTCTTATTTTTTTATACTCTTTATAGATTTTCTTAGAGAGTAAACAGTGGTATAAAAAATGATTCTATTAACTCAAGTTTGAATATATATGTATTTATATTATATACAAACACAAACATATTTCTGGTAATTTTGCAGCATCTTGTTAAGGACTTTAATTTGGAAAAGATATATCTTATTTATAAATTTTTTTTATTCCTTCCTTTCTCATTCAACAAATTCACAGTCATTATTAAAGGGAGAAAAAAAATTCCCTAAGTTTTGTGTTTGGGTAGAAGGGAAGGCTGATTGGTGGGAATCAGGAGATGAAAGATATTTATGAGCTGATTTTATGGAAATTAAATCTGAGGACTTAAAGAAAAAAATGCAAAAAATAAAATAACAAATATCCATGTATCTATTACCCAGAATTAATATTTGTTAATCAATTGTCATATTTTATCTTTTAAAATATGAAATAACATGTTACAGATAGAGCACGGAGGATTTTCTCCTAACAACATGGCAGACCCCCCCAGTCCTGTCTGCTCTCAGGGGTTGGCTGAATCGCCAGCCAGACAGCAGCAGAGCTTTGACACCAAAAACACAGACCTGGTAAATGTGGACAGGAGCCATGTGTCAGCATTACTGGGTAGCATCAAATGAGCAGAGGGATGAAATATGTTGAAAACAGAACACACCTTCCCTGAATATGGACAGTCACCATAATGGAGTCAGGAAGGTACAAAGTGAATTCCAGACAGTGAAACTTCAGTGAACAAAGCCTTTGGGAAATAGCTCTTTTTATACCACAGCCAGTAGTATTTTAAGAGTCTTCAAAATTTGTGGAGATTGAGTGGCTTGTGTAAAGGGGTTTGGAATTCTTGATGAATTCATAAACAACTCCTCATTTTCCCAAACAAGTTTCTTCTCCTTCCTTGTTCCAGTAAACCTATTGCTGAGTCACATGAGTCAGAAACCTGGGAATGTCCCTAGAATTCTCCTTATCTGACACGCCCGAACAATTTAGCCTTCTGAAGAAGCCGGTCAGATCCACTCCTTACTTTTTCTGCTTGCTTCTCCCGTCCTTCTTTGGAATCCCATCAGCTCTGGTTGGACTATTACAGAAGTCTCCTAACTGGTGCTGATGCCTTTAATCTTGCTCCACTGCCGCCTGCCCCACGCCACCTCAGACACAGGATTTACACTGCCACCAGCGGGGTCTTCCTAAAATGCAAATCTGGCATATCATTCATTTTTTTAAAAACTCTTTTTCAGTTCCCCACTGCTCATAAACAGAATTCAAGCCCCTCAGTGAGGTAGTCAAGCCCTCCACATCCTGGCCACTGGCCTTCAGCTTCATGCAGCATCTCTTCAGGCTTCACACTTCAGATTCCAGTAAGGCTGCATGGATTTTATACCTCCACACCAAGTATTTCACGCCTCCATGGCTTTGATCATGCCTCTTCCTTGTCTTGAAATATAATCCTAGCTCCTACAACTTCAGTTGGCTAACTCCTGCTCATACTTCAAGACTCAACATTGGCGTCCTCTCCTTAGGAAGGCTTCCACAATTTCTTCCAGCATGGCACAATTTCTGCTGTCTGTTTTTATGTCTGCCCCTCTACTCTACTGTGAACTCCAGATTCCATTAAACTCTGCATCCCAGTGTCAAACACAATACCTGCACTTTGTCAGTGCTTCTAAATGTTTGTTGACTGTCAGATCAGTGCAGCTGGGAAAGAGATTGAACTGCTAGTCAGAACACCAGGTGGGTGGCGAGACCTGGGCAGTATGTGGACTACATGTTGCTGGATGGAGCATCAGTGAGACTAGCTGGGGCATCTTGAGCATAGTCATGTCACCTGCAGTGGTCTCCTCTCTAAGAAGGAGGCAGAGGATTGGGCACCAGGTTTGTTTTGAGTCTTTGCTGAATCTCTGAGAGCCTCTTGGGCCCACATGGGCTAGATCACTGGAGGTAGGAGGTGGGAGAGATAGTATAGACTTCATATCATTGGGCAAGTGGAAGGGAAAGGTGGAGGTAGTGGATAGGACAAGGTGTTGCTAAGTATTGTGGGAATGCACAAGAACAGTAGCAAATTTTTCATGGAAGGGACTGATCAGAAGACATCTCCTTTTCTTCATCTTGTTCCTCTTCTGTTTCCATTCTTCTCTTTCATTCACTTCCCTTTTTATTTCTCCTTCTTCTTCTGCCTCTTTTCTTTAATTTTGGCAGACATCTGCCACCAATCTTCCTCCTTTGCTGAGGAAGACTGACCCTGAGCTAACATCCGTGCCCATCTTCCTCTACTTTATATACGGGACGCCTACCACAGCATGGTTTGACGAGCAGTGCATAGGTGCGCACCTGGGATCCGAATCGATGGACCCTGGACCACCAACGTGGAACGTGCGCACTTAACCACTG